ATGCATTTTCATATCTCTTATTTTTATGATGCTCAATCCCCTGTTCTATTTGTTCAGATTTGGACGGATATTGATACGTTGATTGATTCATATCGATATTTGTGTTGTTAAAATCAAAATAATCATTATCATCCTGGCTAGAGAATTTTTCAAGGTCTAGTTTATCCAAGAGTACTGAAATTTTCTTCATATCATAACGTACTGAAGGATCATGATCCCAAGATTTTTTAATAATTTCATTGTATTCGACTGGTATACCGTCTACGGCAGTAAGTTCTGGGCGCTGATTGTTTTTAAGTATTTGGCTTTTAATTTGTTCCTTTGAAGTTAAGGTAATAAAGGGCGTTTTTTGATGCTCAATAGCCCACATAACAAGTGCGAAACTTTTAATATAAAAATATATATTATTTAGTGAATTGTGAATTAATTGTATATATTTAATCCTAAAAATTACCTGTATACATCACTAGCTTTTCCGTATTCACCGCGTAATCTTTCTGGTGAACTCCACCTAAAACGACAAAAATGGTTTAAAAAAGAATAAGACACATATGTATGTCAGAATGAGAATAAATTACCTTAAAATACTAATCGGTAACAATGATGTATATTCTTCATTAATTCGAAAATTATATAGTTTAGGTTGCAAATTTTCATTTAGCAATATATTGGAACTAATTATAAGTTAAAAGAATTTTAGTTAATAATATATATATATATTAACATTATGATATAATACGTATGTACTAACGGTCTAATATCATAGTGCAAAATATCCTTTTCATGACAATAATTTAATGCATTAGCAATTCCGCGGGCAATTGATAGTTTTTCAGCTGGATCTAAACAACGTTGATTAAGGTAATCTTGCAAATTATAATCAGCCCATTCTGAAATTACGGAGAAATCACTATTTGATCGATGACAGTATCCGTAGCTTTAAAGAAAGAAAAGAAAGAAAATTTTATAGTTATTTCAATATGTATAAAAGATAATTTAGATCAATGTAAACTTACAATTTAAGAATATTGGAACATTCACAAAGTTCTCGCATAAAATTAATTTCTTTCTTCAATTCATTTAAACTTTTATTAATAGTCTTTTCTGCAACTTTACATATCAAATTTTTACCATTATCACTAGTCTTTGCTGTAACTTTATAATTTCGTTGAACTATATGATCATTACTTCCTCTAACTAATCCACCATCTGAAAGCTCGCTTTCAGGAATTTCACAAGCAAGTTGTCTTCCAATCGAAAGAAATCGTACGAAGGCCATGGCTCTAGATCTAATTGTACTCCAGTCCCTCTTTTGTTTGTTTTGCCAGTCTTGAATTGAATTTTTTAATTCGTTAATCATACTATTTATCACGTTTATTCTATTAGTGAGCTATTTATTAAATAATTTTTATCAGAAATTATAAATGATATTCCAAAAATGCATATATTAAAAAATCACTTAAATGTTTTTAAATTATAAATATTACATACCTCTGCCTCAACATTATCATCATAATTACTATAATTGACACAAAGATCAATTTCCCATAATTTATTTTCAAGATTTCGAAAAATTATAGACTCTTCGATGAATTTTTGGAATTTATAATTGACAATGTTATTATCATTGTTTATATTTTCATTTAAACATTTTTCAGGATAAGAACTGTTGGGAAACATCAATCTCGTGATTTCTTCTAAAAACTTTTGACTATCTTTTGTTACTTCTAACCCTCTAGTGCATAGCTTTCTAGCATGCAAATTTTCATCTTTTAACTTTTCGAACGCACGTTCAGCAAAATTGAGATTAGTTTTTGCAAGATCTATATATTTTGTTTTTACGGGTGATTCTGATTTTATAGGTGATTCACGATACATTTTTAATTAAATGGACTTGAGAGCAAAGAGAGACGGTTGAAGATGGCAAATTATGTCCTAATATATAATCATTTTGAAATTACTTTGAAATTTAAAACAGACTTAATATTCGGAATGAGAATATGCATGAGAAGAAAAAACCTTTAACCATAAAAGACCAAAATGGACATATTAAAACACAGTTTATGCAGTTTATCTAGGAATGCGGTGGGACATTAATTTCGCCAATTCATTGTTACCAATTTCATCAGTAGTGATGTTCTACACTCTAGTCCGGATTACGAAACTGCACTGCGATTAATTAAAACTCCGAAATTTGAATTCCAGACGACGGAGTTTTAATTAATCTCACGTAATCTATAGTTAAGCCACTCGTTTGGAACACTAGTTTAATTTCACCAGCATCTTTGTTTGGCAAAATATGTTTCACAAAATGCTATTAAAATTTTACCCAAGTACACGACTTTCTAAGATTATAAGGTGATCATATAATATTGTTAACCGAAATTTTTGAATTTTCTCAATGTTGGGAACATTTTTTTAAAAAAAAATTTCTACGAAATTAGAAGTTGGGCGTATTTTAATTAATGATCATTCTATCCGATATCGAGGTGCGTAGTTCTAAAAATGCATTCCCTCCCGAGAAGTTTCTTAAAATTATTTTGTTTATTTTTGTAAAAAAAATAAGCATATATAAAGTATTACAAATGTATCATATAAACCTTATCTTATTGGGGTGTCCATTATTGGTACGTCGTACAAACATATCCTGATATGGTAAATTCTATATAGTATAAAGATCAAACTGCAATACTCTTGAACAATCAACCCTACACAAATAAAATTATTTGTCGGGTTCGTTTTAACGTGTTCTTTAAATGGCATCAGGCAGAATTCAATTTACGTTTTTGATAATTTTATTAAAATGCATCAAAAACGAGAATTTTGGTATCACTTCAGACAATAAAAATAAAATAAAGCGCTACTATAAAGAGAAATGTTAAACGAACCCAACACGTGTAATTTTATTTGTATGAATTATTGCAGTTTATGTAAATCCTTACTACTGTATATAGTATTTACTACGTATATGATCTGCATTATGTTTGAATATTTATCTCATGCGCGATTTTTTAGATAAACATTTGCAAATTTAGAATAAGAGTTGTGGATGAGAAATACAGCACGGACAATCTAGACCCAACAAATGAAAATTTTAGCGCCAAATTTGAAATTTTAACATAAAGTGGCCACATTATTAATTTAACATAGTCAAATTAATATATAAAATGGTCAAATTTAGCATATAGACCAAATTTGCTTGTTTAATAGTATATTTTAAGCGGCCAAAATTGCTTGTTTAATGATAAAATTGCCTTTTCTTTAATTCTCTACTACTTTATTAAAAATAAATTTAAAAAAAATTTAAGACCAAGACGTTTTTAGCTTGAATGGTTTTAATGTTTTATGAAAAAGATTTTTTGTTTATTATTTTTGTGAACAAGGATTAGCATTTTGAAATTAGTCAAGTTTATTTGTCGAGACTAGGTTGTCTGTACTACGTACTGTAAGTGGCTTCAAACAAATGCCTGCGAGTATAAATGGACATTATTTTATTGCGCTTTTCAAATTACTGTGATCAGCAAGTTTCACGTATCACACCGGGAATCA